AGTAGGAGAGGTCATTTTGAAAAACCAAAATCAATGAGAGACGTATTTTTAGTATAAGTACGAGAGACAAGTTTTTTGGTTAAATTCACGCATGCGTAACTAACAGAGCAAATGCTCCTACTACATCTACGGCCGTCATGAGAACAATGCGAAAGAGCCATCGACGATTTTCCGGAAATGATACGTCTACATATTTGCTGAGGAGAGGTTTTGGGAAAACGCAGACTTCGTTGAACGTTTGGACACACGATACCCAGCGCGTCATGTCACTTTCTGCTGAAAATGTACTAAAAATTGAAAAAAAAAAATGCTTGAATTCTTCATTTTCCAAATCATTTTTACACCTCAAAAACATGTCGTGACAACGTGCCTCGAATAAATTAAAAATGCCTTTTCCACCGTTCTGTCACCACAAGTCACGCGATTCACCGCCGAGGAGGACCTAGACTGCCGAGCTTGGGAAAAACGCATTATGAACCTTCAGGTGTTGCCAAATTTCCTTCGATAAAATACGAATTTATCGGGGAAGTTATAAAGATATTTTTCTTCAAATTTTTTAGAAAGTTATGTTCGCAACTTAGTCCAAAATATCTAAAAATTTCGAAGGAAAAATATGCATGACTTTCTTTCCAAATTAATTTTTTATCGCGGGAAATTTGGCAGCGTTCGAACGTTCATACGGCGTTTTTCCTTAGCACGGCAGTGCACTTCACTCACACGCTCTTCTGCCACAACTTACTAGAACTTACTAATTTATTTGAGAAGCAGCCGATTAATGTAAAATTGACAGACCACAGTTCACAAAGAAAAGTGCCTTTATCCACAGAAAATGGAACTTACAACACAAGTATTTTCAACAAAATTTCGATCAATTTCTCAACAATTTTTTTAATCTTTTTATTGTTGTTGATGGAAAAACATACACCGTGAATGCTTCCTTTCCTTCCTCAGTCTGTCCATTGGTTTATTGCGGTTGTTTCATAGAAAACCTCACGTTGACATTAACCACCACAGACGTTCCAAATTGACCCAAAAGCACGTATTCCTCCTCGCGGCACAAAACTATTTTAAGGACTCTTTTTCGCTGGATACGCAAAGCGATACAAAGAGAGAAAAACAAATTCTCTGACCACAAGGGAAAGGAAAAAATGAAAAAAATTAACCTGGAGTAAACTCTACAATCGGGATCTTCTTTCATTCCCACGGTGTGTCTCAGCACCATTTGTCCATCAAAGACGCGGGCTATAAAGGATGAATTTCTCTGCTAATGAACTGAGGGCTCCCCGATTCCCCCGGCTAAAAGGTTATGGAGTAAACGTCAAGCGAGCCCCCTCCCTCCAAGTTACCGCCCCTACATGCCAAATGTATACAAAAATACAAGATTATTTTTTGAGCCGTACACCACACTGTCAGGTAAAAAATTGCGGGGTTTGAAAATGCAAATAATCACATCATCACTATTCTGACTTTTCAACTTGAATGATGTCATCAAAGTCGAAATGAAACGAGAAAGTGATGGAAGCTATGTACTAGGGCATAAAGTACCTATATTGAGAGAGTATGGCCACTGGTGTTACCACCTCTGATTGGCTCAGCCATCTTAGGCTGAATGGAGCCCTTAGGACCAAAAAATGGCGGACGCCATAAATTAATGTTATGCAAAATGACTCAAAATGTAGTTTTCTTTGCTTATCGTAACGAGAAATTTACCCAAATGCACTAATGTGACTTCTTTACATATTTTTAAGGCTAATCGTGTGCAATTTTTGAGAAAAATTATCTTGGATGTAGTAAGGTTGGCAGCAAGTGCGGTTGGTGATAACCGTCAAAAGTTGGCAATGACCCCCCTCCCACCCACAAAAACCAAAACAAAGCACCGCCATTTTTGGGTCCTAAGCCTCTCCATGGGGCCCAGTGGCCATACTCTCTCAATATAGGTACTCTACTAGGGCAGTCAAATCGCTATCCCCGCTCATTTTTCACTGATGTTTTTTACAATAAAACGTATTCCAATGTGGAATTATGGCTTGTTTACTACAAATACCATGCATGAGCTTTCATTTTTTGTTTCTGAAGATATGATTCCGACTCCCCTTTTGTATTCGAATACGAGGGAGAAGTAGAGAGACATTAATAATAGACGGAAATCGTGGAAACCAGTGCTTTCTTCTGATTGGTGCCGGATGACATCATTCGGTTTGGCGCGAAACCGGGGCGTTACAAATTGGCGGAAAAGATGCGCTTTTTTAATTGCTCATTTCTCGGAATCTGAGTTACTTCTTCGCGTTTTGAGTTTGCGTGTCGTGCTCTACGCGTCATATACCTTTGGAGAAATTAATCGGCAAATGAAAATTCGTTCATGGTACAGTGGCCCGTTATACACGGGGAAAAAAACTTAGTGCGTGGGACCCGAAGTTGAAGTCATATGGATATCTGAAGTTTTCGGATCACGTATCTAAAAACTTGAGGTCCAGCTGCCGAAGTTCGGGTCAGACATCTGAAGTACTTCGATATGTACCGAAGGGTTCGGGTCACACATCTGAAGTACTCCGGTACATACCGAAGTGCCTCGAAGTCATGACCCGAACTTCGGCAGCTCGACCTCAAGTATTCGGATGCGTGATCAGAAAACTTCAGAGCTCCATATGACCTCGACTTCGGGTCCCATGCACGAAGTTTTTTCTCCGTGTACGATCGAAAACCTGGGCAAATCCACGGCGCAGCAACCTCGCTTATTAGCTGTCGTAATTCTCATCAGGGGGCCTAGAAGGCGGTAGGTCCGCCGTGGCGCGACATTATAGCTACTTGAAAAAGGCAAAACAGGAGCTGCTGTAAAAACAATCCCTATAAGCGCAAGCGGCTGCCGTTTAAGAACAAAAGGAGTCGAAGGAAGGCACGCACACGGGAGTTGTTTCCATTGTCTACGGGGGCGTGTGCACACCAACACTTCCAGGGACCACAGTGCGTGCGGGAGTCGCGGGGAATAAAGGGGGCGACAGGGGGTGCGCGGCTTTGTCCCGTAATCCATTTCAAGGCTCCTTGATTGGGATCGAAGGGTACCAGATCGTCGCTTCCGACTCGAAAATATAGTTTTTCGATAAGTTGCTTCATCGATTAATCGAATTGATTAATAATCGAATCCAATCGAAATCAATCGATTAATTTGCATGATTGAACCGTTCGATTTTCAAAATAATAACTGTGCCCTGGAATCCCCGCGAGGGTTCCTCGATGGAAATCAGCATATATGCTGAATTTGAGGAGCAAAAATCATTATGCTGGACATTTTTTATAAACTTAGCAAATTTCTGCAGATTAATTTCCATATTTCCTCCTGAAAGCCTGTTTTTCCATACAATATCAGCCTTTTACGGCATTGAATTAAAATTTTTAGGGGTTCTATGCTAATTTTAGGAAATTTCATATAAAAATCAGAGTTTTTCATGGGAAAAAGCAGAAAATTTTCTGGGCCACGTTTTCACTTTGATGGTGGGGTTGACTTCACTCGAAATGTGTCCGCAGCTGCCTTTCTGAGTAAATATCTCGGAGGTAAAATATTCGCTAATTGCGATTTTCCCTCTGATTTTCATACCTGAAATTCCATCTAAAATTACTTTCCCTCTAAAGTCCCACTCGTCAGAAAACAGGCGCGCATTGGCTTTCAAAAAAACCTGCCGGCTACATGGCTCATCTTTAAACACCGCTCATTTTATTAAAAAAGCAATGTGCATTGTTCGCTGAGTCATCCATTTATAAAAGCGTTCGAGCATTCAATTCCAAACAGACGAGCTTTCAGACCACAATCATAAAATCTCTCTCAGAGAGAAAGGTTCTTTCATCAAAATCCCAAAGTTGATAAATGAGCATGCCACAGGAATTTCCCATAAATGCGTCGAAATAATGTCAGATATCAGGGTTTACGGACATCCGTCAAAGAAATCTGGCACAATTCCTAGCCCGTTCGCAGTAGTAGCGTGACGTCACAAGAATCGGTTTTGCAGTAAGTTTATCGTACTAGCACAAATCAAAAGATTGCAAGGAGCATTGTTCGTGTGCGCCGATTGACTGCAACATCTAAGCTAATATCCCGGTAATCGGAACACCTCCGATATGGGAGTGCGTGACCATGAGGAGGAGGTTCTTATGACGCAATCATTGATAACTCATGACGCTAATGGCCCGTGACAAAAATCGATGAGCGAATGAGCCTCCGCACTCGTGCGATGATGCCAGATTTATTGCATTAGCGGGTCCAGAAAGTTGGCAACAATATTTTCTTTCCATTGAATGCTATGGAAATGAGTCGATTCTTGGAAAGGCCGGGTGCGACGACAAGAATCGATTATTCAACACAGGTTTAATACAGAGAAAACATTATTGCCAAATCCAATTCTGGTTCATTGTGGCAATTGGCCAGAGAAAAAGATCAAACGTGAGGAGGATAAATCACTCTCGTTATTAGCATCCACCAATACGTATGGGATTCTCTAACCTCAAAACCAATTTGTGAAGAAGCTTAGGTAAAAACTCATACACGAAAATTCAATGCTATCTAGTCTCTTCTGATAATTTATTCATTTAAGGAACGGTTACAAATATTATTCCGTGAAATTTTTAGATGCGTCCGATAAAATTGTTGATAAGCTTCACTGAGAAATTCAAGGAAAAGAATTCTCCAGTTTTTCAAGAAATGCCTATCATAGGACATATTTGCAACATCCAAATGCTCATACTCGTTCTTGCTCATAGCATGGCAGAGTGGGTGGAAAATGTGGTTGCAACGTGGAAAGTCAATTTCCTGATAATCTGACTTTCATAATTTGATTAGACAGAGCATCAAAATGGGCTGTTCGTTTCATAATAATGGCATCAATCGCTTGATGCTGTGACGCCGAAATTTTTCCGCGCTGCTGAAAAGGTCCATTTTACAGTTCATGGCGCCTGTCTTTCTATTTTCATGTTTTTCTTTTTTTTAATGGCAGCTGTGACAATCAACTTACGTTAAAAGATTGATGCGTCATGCTGCTGAGTCGCTCGTACTTTGATACGGGCTCTCCCGAAGTCTGTTATCCGATCTTGACTACCGCACTGCGTGGATTAAAAGCATTTTCCGGAACGTTTCACAACTGCACTTCAGGATTTACGCACTGGTCCGCACTTCACAAAATATTTAGTGAAAAAGTGACTTCATACAAAAAATACGCTAAAACACCCTATTCCAAAGAAGAAGAAACTATACGAATATTATTACTCGTGAAAAGCAATACCTTGATCTCGTCTTATAAATGAATGTGAGAAACAAAATCACTGATACTTTCAGGGAGTATAAAAAAGTGTCAAAGAACGGGAATCGTTTAAATAACTGCCACACTAGAATTCTGCTCAAGTCAAAATTCCACGAAAATTTCGAATAAAAAAAAAAAAAAAAAAAAAAAAAAAAAAAAAAACCCACAGCGGAGAAGACCTGTGGATTCTCAAGCAGAACTGCAAAAAGGCCGAAATAAGTTTCCAAAATTGCAAGGATTACAATTCACAACTTTACGGCTGAATTGAAATTATTTAAGGATTATAACACACAATAAATGCGCACACGGTTGGTCACGATCTCAGTTGCGGGATTCACTTGACAACGGCCGCGAAAATTTTCTTAATATTCCACTGAAACGGCCAAAAACAAACAGCGGGGGCAGGTTATGACGTAAGAGGCGGATAATTTCGCGCCGACCAGCGGGAGTCCTGATCGGAAGAGCAGCTCGAGGTCCGAGGTCTTAAGTGGCGAGGAACGAACTGAAGCGGGCTGGGGAAATAAATTCGAGCTCGACAAACTGAGAACATGTGTGCGGTGCGCTCCAACACACCCTCGGAGCCGACTGCACCCATACGGCCGGCTCCGGCTCCTCGCGGACCCCTGATCCCCGTGGAGGCGGCTCGGACGGCATCCCACCTCCGCACCGTTGCCGCGGTGGACGCCCAAAAACCGGTCCCATACATCAACAGTGTCCTTAACCAAACTCGCGAAGATATACGCTCGGTTTTAAGATTTTCAAGATCAAATTGAAGTTTTTCCGAAGAATTTGACAGCAAATTCGAGCTTCCCGTCAAAAAATACCTCCCGATACCGTGTATCACACAATTCGGCGGAACAGGAGCCGGGATTGTATTTGAGGCCACGTCCGCCATCTTGGATTTTGGAAATTTGAAAATTTGACTAAAAAAATAATTTCCCCGTCAAAAAGTACCCCCAGTTACCGAGTTTCACAAAAATCGATCGAACACTTGGCCGAGTTAGCATCCACTTGCCCAACTTACAAAGTAACGCAGAGCTTGGAGAAAAACAATTAGATGAGTTTCCTCGTGAAAAAAGGTTCATAAAAAAGTAATTCCGGACGTTGGAAGAAATGTTGTCTTTGCAGTAATTGAATATGTCCCATTTCTATCATTCTGACCGGTCGCGAAGCTCGGGAACCGATCCCAACCGAGTCAGGTTGGGTTTAGTTGGGTCACGCAACTAAACTAACTCTCCGGCAAAGCTGGAAGTATCACTCGAATTGAAGGCGCGTCAATCCTGAAGCTACACGCACTACTTCGACAGCTTCGATCAATCGAACTTTTTAGGATATTTATCTCTTTCATCACACTATAGGCAGTCGTACTGCGAAAAAAAAACCGCCTAAGGATAGTTGTTGCCTAATTTCTTCTGATCTCCGTAATTCGAAATCGTTGATTTTGAATAAGGTTTCTTCATACCCTGCCCAATACCATCCTTTTAGATGTCTCAAACTAAAGATCAGAGTTGTTCAATCACAAAAATATCGAAAAAATTAACAAAGTAAGCAGGTGCAGCTTTACAAAACTCACAATTCTCCATTTTAGAGTTTTTTTTAGCGCTAATCATCGCCATTAACCCTTTATATAAGTTTGAATTGGGTAAGAAATAGGGAACTTCGCTCAAAATCCACGATTTTGTATTACGACGATCAAAAGAAATTTGGCAACATCAAAATATCCTTAAGTGGGGTTTTTCGCAGCACGACTGCCTGCAGTATGATGAAAGAGATAAATATCCTAAAAAGTTCGATTGATCGAAGCTGTCGAAGTAGTGCGTGTAGCTTCAGGATTGACGCGCCTTCAATTCGAGAGATACTTCCAGCTTTGCCGGAGAGTTAGTTTAGTTGCGTGACCCAACTAAACCCAACCTGACTCGGTTGCGATCGGTTCCCGAGCTTCACGACCGGTCAGAATGATAGAACTGGGACATATTCAATTACTGCAAAGACAACATTTCTTCCAACGTCCAGAATTACTTTTTATGAATCTTTTTTTACGAGGAAACTCATCTAATCGTTTTTCTCCAAGCTCTGCGTTACTTTGTAAGTTGGGCACGTGGATGCTAACTCGGCTAAGTGTTCGATCGATTTTTGTGAAACTCGGTAACTGGGGGTACTTTTTGACGGGGAAATTAGTTTTGTAGTCAAATTTTCAAACTTCCAAATTCCAAGATGGCGGACGTGGCCTCAAATACAATCCCGGCTCCTGTCCGTCCGAATTGTGTGAAACTCGGTATCAGGAGGTATTTTCTGACAGAATGCTCGAATTTGCTGTCAAATTTTCAGAATTTCAAAATCCAAGATGTTGAGCGTGGCCTGAAGTTAGGTAAGGGTGATACTCCGACGAAATTCTGATAACAGCTGGGGCTGCTTCATACGACAGGTTTACATTCCCACGATGCGCGAACTACACAGGGAGAGTATCGCCATGTCTGCGCTACTCTCTGATTGGTTAATCAGGTCAAGATTCCCTCGAGGCTTTTAATGATGATGATAAATGTGAATTTGATCAAGAGGAATTCGTATTATCGAGGAAGATATAAGCGATGCAGAAAAGGCTTGATTCTCAGCAAGAAATGTAAGGTCAACTTTTACATCCTACCACTAGACAACTATGTTTGTGTCTCGAAAACTTCTCAGTCGGACCACAGTCAAAGTTTCCGTGGAAACGGGACCGGGGTGGGGGGGGGATCGGGGCCCCGCTCCAGGTTACGCTCCGGGAAGTCTGTCGAATACAAGGGCTGGGCCCCCCGATCCCCGTTTTCGGGGAACCGTGGCTTCGGGGCATGATATGACTCTCATGCTTTTTTTAACAGTTACGGCAGGTTGGTTTCCCTTCACATTCTTTGCTTATGCGCGGGTGCGAAGATACCATCGTTTGACTGCAAGTTTCAGCATGAAATCTTCTCGGTTTTAGCAGGTTTTATTGCCTAAAAACAGAAGAGATCTCCGGCTTTATCAATGCAAGAACTCCTAACATGTACTGATATTCATCCACTCGATGCGACGTTTTCTCAGAGAGCTGTTTTAAGTACTGCCTACGTTTAGATTTTCTGCTTCGGTGCCGATTCGGAAAATTATTTCTGCCCGGTTTCTGACCACATCCAGAGAGAACAGCGACAAGGTGCGTGAAGTTACCGTATTTTTATTAGGAGGAAGGGGGTTTCTTCTACGAGATGGAGAGCGCGAACTCCTCAAAAGAAGTGACAACAAAAACAGAAGAAAGTTTTACCAGAAAAGGCTTCCGTACTTTATTTAATCGGGAAATCGCGTTCCAAATTACTTCTTAGTGTGTCTTTATCAACTCGCTCAGGGCTTTAATTTGGACTTGTAAACACCCTGTACCCCAAAGATATTCCATTTTGGCGGGAATATTTAAAAATGCGTTTCTCCGTTCATAGCAAATAATTTTCTCCGGACGAAAGTGTGGGCTTGAAATGCGTGGTCGATGGAGGAGCCAGATGAGACAGGTATTCACAGAGGAGTAAAAATATATTCTTAAAACCGAATTTGCACAATCCGGCAACAGGATCGACATCGAGGCGACATAGCAGCCACAAGCATCTATACGCCCACGCGCCTTCCCGCGCTGCGCGCCCGACGGGCGCGGACGCCTGAACAGTGTTGCCACATTATGTGATAAAATTAAGGTATTTTAAATGGGGTTACGTGGGGAGCATAGTGTTTTCTCAGTACTAGCAGGCAACGCTGTCATATAGACTAAAAATTAGTTTTTTTTCATTCTTTTCATTCATGTTTTGTTTTCTTTTTTCTTTCTTTTCTTTACCAAATGACTGTTAAAACCTTCTTTGAATTAAGGCTCATGCGAAATTATCATTCAAGCCGCCGGAGGCCAAAATCAAACAAAAAATTTCCTGACTCCTAAATTTTTGAGGATTCTGGGAGTGGGAATGCTTTTTAAGGGCCGCATATTGGAGGCATAGTTCAAGATTTGCCGATAAAATAGGAGCTTTTAGGTGCAATCGAAACGACTTTAAAAGTTTCAACACGATTCAAGGGAATTACAGCCTCGACAGAATTTCCTCACCATTCGATTATATTATATTGCGGTAAAATATTTCTCAGAGTTTCTCCTTTTTCTAGACTTACCTAGGCAACCCAGAGTACTATTAGAATTACATAGATTTCTTAGAAGTTGGCGCCCAAATTGTATTCAAAAAATAAAATTAAGAACTAATTATGTTTATGATGAAAGTTATTATACATCGTTTCCAACGGGGTTAAGGAAATTAAACTTGTTTCCAAATACAAAATTTCGTGTGATATATGGTGCTTGCACTCTCCTGCTTGCACTCTTACCCAGAGGAAGAAGTACGGAATTTAGCTCTAAAAACGTTCATGCTGGAGTCCACTCCATATTGTTTTACGCACTTGGAGACTGAGACAGAACATTCGCCATCTTCATTCTCGCGTATGCTTTACACGAGGAATTGACGTCAGACGATCTTCTGTCGTAGTCTAAAAGTACGTAAACTTATTTAGCGTAACCAAGACGCGTATTTTGCGTTTATACCAAGACTAAAATTTTCATCCGGCAATACATAAAAAACCGAAAATTTCCATGCAATTTTCCCCACACGTTCTGCGTTGCCCGGGCGAAGCATTATTCGTTCGCCCTGCCAAATCAAACCACCCGTTTCCTCGGTCTTTAAAAACCCCCATGGATTAAATTTTCCTGTAAAAAATTGGAAGATTAAAGAGATACAAACGAAAACGAAAATCCTTCAAGATTCGCCTGGTTTTTCGATGTTCTCCACTGACCAAATAATGATCTTTAAATTGCTAGAAAACCTTTCTAGATCTTTGAAACCGGGCGGATTGGCAACTGCGCACGCGCGGGCGGCATCGATACGTGTTCGCGGGAGTGCGCCGCGCCGCACAGTAGATCGAGTCATAGGGAGAAGTCGGATAAAATTTGGAAACTTAAAACGCTTGTAACTCCGTTTATACAAAAATTTGAAGTTCTAAAAGTGAGCCCATTGGTTTCCTCGTGAAATATTCTTCAAGAACCACCCCTTAAAAATCAAAATGTAACAAAATGAAC